ATTGAATATTTTATGATCAGATGCACTTAAATAAAACCTGTACAAAAGAGCTGAATGTCAAGGAGCCTCCATAGGCTAGCTGAGCGTCTGAAAGTTTCTTTATATGCTTGAAGGTCCGATGATTCCATATATGCAAGCAGAAAGTCAAATGAGTTTTTGTAAACGATTTAAAGACGAGCTAAATGCCATGGGCTAGGTAAAGGCCTTTGCGACTATATGGACAAGCAGAAATCCTGAAGGATTTCCATGAAGTGTTAAAATGCCAATGAACTTCTGCAGGGGAATAATAGTGACTTTAGGAATTTTTAAACCAACTAAAATCTAATCTTAATGTCCAAGATTAAGGCATTGATGTCTTGATATTTCAGCGGTGAGTCTTTACACACCACCTGAAAGACGCGGAGTATAAAAAATAATACGAGCGGAGAGCGGCCATCGGTTGTTATGGCGGCCCACACAATCACCATGGCCGGCGCTTGAACTCTGGTTGCCAACCGAAGGTGTACATTTTCAGCTGACCTCTTTGGCAGGAAAACACGATCATTTTGTTTGTTTACAAACTGCTGGACAACAAATGTTTTCTCATCGGAGAGGAGAAAACCAAATTCGGCAGTTCACCACTCCAAGCGAAGCATGTCTTTAGCTCTTTTGAGTCTATTTTCTTTCTGTTGCGGTGTAAGTTCATGCACTTTTTGGAATTTCAACGGCTTTACCCCGAGCTCATTTTTCAATATTTGCCCAATGGAATATTGCGATATGTTCAGCCCACGAGCCATTTTTCGATCACTGCGATGCGGGTTTCGATCAAGTCTCTTCTTTACTTTTCGAATCATTTCTGCTGATGTTGCTGTTTTCTTCCATCCACTTTCTTGACGTCCGGCTAAGCTACCAGTAGCACGGTATCGAGCGATGGTACGAGACTCAAAAGATTTATTCACATTTAAATGCTGGAGTGCTCTAATGTAATGTAATGTAAAGAAATTACACTATCACGCTTCAATTCCATCACGAGTAAATTTTTTTCTTGTAAACAATATAATGAGCTGCCACTGGAATAATTTTAACAGCTGTCGGATGACTAGCTTAGAAATGACAGCAGTCTGAAGTTGGTTGCAGTTTTTTCATCTCACCCTGTATATTATCCTCACAACAGACCATGCGTTACAAAAATGTTTGTATGTGTGAAATTTGAAGAGAGTTAGTTTCTGTTTTTCAATTTCTATGAGCGTTTTAGTTTTCAAAATCTTGAACTCAATGAGGGGGAAGTACCAGGAGAAATGGTTCGATCTCTACCATCTTCATAAAATATCTAGAGTTGATGGAAATATTGAGATGGGTCGATTCCGAAAGGAATTGGATGTTTTCTTCGCGTTTTATGATTATCATGGATGTTCAAAATTTTGATCCCTTGTGGGTGAGGTACCATAAGAAGTGGACCAATATATCCCATATTCACGGCAGATCTTGTGTTAGTAGAATTAATGGGATGTATGAAATATGAAGAGAACCGGATACTTATTTCGGATTTTATAATCGTTTTGATTATTCAAAACGTTGACCCTTGGGCGAGGTACAAGAAGAAATGGTCCGATTTATACCATCTTCATAACAGATTTTGTGTCACTGGAAATATTGAGATGTGCACGTCGGACAGACGGACGGGCATTGCTAGATCGACTTCAAATGTCCTGAAACGGATTTGGTCCAAAGAGACCTAGGGTCAAAAACTGTTATTGCGATGAGCCACTTTTTGGCCTTATCAAATAATATATATACCCTCTCTTGCCATGATTGCTTTGTGATGACAAATCGTCGCATTAACTTTTCTTCCCGAAAAAAAAATGAAAATTGTGTTTGCCAGTATTAATTTAAATATTTGTATTTCAATTATTTGCCATTTTTAATTTCATACTCAGAATGAAACTTTTATATGAATATCATGTCATAAAAATGAATTATGTCATCAAATAAGTCATATTACAGGCACAAAAAACTCGTTTCAAAATTATGACTAATTGCCATGGAGAAAACAAATTACAAAATATGAATAATTACGAAATTGTTGTTTTCGAAAAGCTATGTAGGAAGTAGTATTACATTCTGTGCTTTATATAGGCGTCTACTGTATAAAAAAGTTTAGTAACACCCCTTTGACTTCCCGTCCGGCATATAAAAGCATTTTCAAATATTCAAAAGATGGATATTTTAAATGGAAACTAATTTGAATTTCATCACGCCACAGAAGAGGGCATTTGTTCGGATTTAATATTAGCCTAAGTACCTCATATTCATCTCCTTATATTCTCTCCTAAAAATATTCAAAATATTCCTTAGTTGCAATACTGCACCTGCTATATTTCACGACTGACACTGATTGAAAATAAAAAAAAAAAAAAAAAAACGAAATCACAACAAATTAATCAATCGATTGTCAATAGATGCGACTTTTTGTTGTCATTGTTGTTGTTATTTGTTTTGATCAAACCATTTGTGTTATTTATTGTTTTCAATTAAGCGAAATTTGTTTTGTTTTTATTTGACTCTGTGGCCAATAATAAAGAATTAGAATGACAATAACAACAAGTATTCTACGTTTCTAAAAATTCTCAAAAAAAAAAAAATAATAAATAAATAAATAAATAAATAAATAAATAAATAAAATAAAAACATCTTCTATAAAGTCTAGAATTTTTATATATACATATAAAAAATATATCTTTTCATCCTTCGAAAAAAAAATCACGTTTATTTCTCCTCCCGAAAAATAATTTTTAAGAAAAGTCCTTTGAATATAAATTTAAAAAGCATATTTAAAGCATATTTTTTTAACAAATATATTTTTATTGATCCTTTAAACAATCTTGTCTCTATATCTTTTAAAAAGAAAAATTATTTTAACAAGGAAATAGTATCAGTCGATTTCGTGGACAGATTATACCCCAGCCTTGCGTTACGATTATTCAAACTGTTGATCATTTATGGGAGATGTTTCGAAGAAGTGGTCCAACATTGTCCATTACGTATCTGACCTAAATCTGATATTATGTTGAGCTACATCGACTTCTTTCTTTGCATTTTATGTTCAAATATGCGGGAGATGCCGTTTATGGCTGACCGGAGCATTCCAATTTATCAAATACTGATAAAAATATTGGTATGTGCAACATTTTAAGAAAAACTAATATTTATTTCCAATTTTATGCGACTAATGAATATATTGAACCTTCGTGGGGGAGGTATTCAATTATTGGGGGGGGTGAAGTTAAATATCAACCCTTTGTGGTGAAATTACTTGATGGAGTGGACCGATTATGTCCATTTTCGCACTTGACACAGGACTGATAAAAATATTAGGATTTGCTTAGTTTGAAAAAAAAAATCGGATGATTCTTTCTTATTCTGTTTGGTAAATTATTTTCTGTGAAAATATTGACGTGCCAGAAGGAGTGGATCTATATTGTTCATCTCCGAACTCGATGAAAGTTTGACAAAAACTAAATTGGACAAAGTTATCGTGTCCTTCGGTCCAGACAACGCCTAGATCGATCCTAAATGCCCTGTAACGGATTTGGTCCAAGGAGACCATGCTGGACGATTCTATAAAAAATTTTTATTGAAAATCCACAAAAAAAAAACTTTAACACGTCTAGGTCTATTGGCTCATTGAGGGAACACTCCTAAAAAATTGAATTTTTTGGTCTGTTGCTTCTTTGAGAAAATTTCATTAAGATACTATATTTAAAAATCCGCTTTTATTGATCTGTTGGTTCTTTAAGGTAATTTCCTTCAAAAAGCCAAGTTTTATGGTACTTTGACTTTTGTGAAAACACCTATAAAATCCATGGTTTTGGTCCGTCGGTCCTTTAAAAATGCACGTTTATCGGTCTGTTAGTTCTTTAAGAAAATATCCTTCTAAGAAACAAATTTAATGGCCCATTGTCCTTTCCGAATATATCCTTAAAAATCCACTTTTATTAGTATATTTAAAAAATCTACGTGTTGTTGTCTGTTGGTCCTTTGAGAAAATATCCTTAGAAAATCCACATTTATTGATCTGCTGGTCCATTAAAAAAATATATTTGAAAATCATACTTTATTAGTCTGTCGCTCCATTGGCAAATTATCCCTAAAAATCCGTGTTCATTTGCGAAAATGTCGTCAAAAAATCCACATTTATTGGTCCATTGAGAAAATATCCTTTTATAAGTCTGTTGGTTCTTTGGCAAAATATCCTTAAAAGTCCGTGTTTATCTATCTCTTGGTCTTTTGAGAAAATTACCTTTAAAACCCACATTCAGTAGTCTTTTGGTTGTTTGAAATAATATCCTTAAAAAGCCATATTTACTAAAACATTGAGGAAATATCCTTTAAAACTCCACGTATAATGGTCTATTGGTCCTTCGAGAGTTATACTTAAAAAATCCTCATTTATTTGTCTGTTGATCTATTAAAAACCGACCTTTTATCCCACATTCAGTGATCTTTTGGTTCTGTAAGAAAATATGCTTTACAAATCCACTATTGTTCCTTTAAAGTAATATCCTTGAAATCCTAATCCTTCGACAAAATATCATTCTAAAACCCACTTTTAATGGTCTCTTGTACCATTGAGAAAATTTCCTTAAAAAATCCAATTCTAATGGCCTGTGGGTCCTTTGAGAGACTATCTTTAAAAATTCATATTTTTTGCTCTATTGGTTCCTTGAGAAAATATCCCTTAAAACCTACATTTATGGGTTTTTTGATATTTGAAAAAACATCCTTCAAAAATTTACATACATAAATCTTTTAGTTCTTTAACAAATATTCTTAAACAGGGTTTTCAAGCAAAGTTTTCTGGTCGTTCGGCTATTTAAAAAAATATTCGTTTGAAGAAATTATTCTTTAAAAACGAACATCTTCTGCTTCTTTCAAGAAATATTCTGTAAAATATTTTTTTCGAAAAATTTCTTTTCAAAAATCCAAGATTTTATTCCATATTTTTTTCTTTGAAATTTCAGGTCAAAATTTAACTAAAGCTTGTGACGAGAAACAATTTCGCTGCGGCAATGGATACTGTTTACCCGTTCGCTTCCTGTGTGACGGTGAATCGGATTGTGCCGATCATAGCGATGAAATGATACCGGAATGTAGAATTAAAGGTAAGTGGTAAGAATATGAGCTTGCATTGCAATTAAACTATTAAAATCTTGAGGTTTGAAAGGCCATAGTAGGCTCAAACTCTATGGCTGTACTATGTGGGGAAATGAAAAACGTATATACCTTGAACCTTTCCGAAATCGATTGGGAACTTCGTAGAACTGTTAAGATTTATTTTCAATTTTTTAAGTCATTAAACAATTTTTTTTTTGATGAAATGGATCGATGTTGGATACAAGAATTCCAGGTCAAACATTTGTAGACTCATCATCCCAATAAAATCTAGTCTAGCCTACTATTCAATACACCACCCCTACCACCTCCTGACCACCTATTCGTCATCTCCTACAAACAAGGTTTTCACTCTACTGCAATTGATCTGTTGCTCTGAAAGCCTTCCTAAATATTGTGTTCGATTCACAGAATGTTACTATTGCTACCGAAAAATTGCAACATATTGAAGTTTTAAATTACCCATGGACACCTAACTGAGTATTTTGTTTCTTTTTTTTCGTGTGTGTTTCATCTCGGCAATTTCGCGAAATTCGTTAGCAATGCGCTCGAAAAAAAACACACGCCGTCATTCTTCATGCTATCAAGACTGCAACTTCTCTTTTTTTTGGTTCGAATCAGCCATCTGATGTTCCGTGTGCATGTTTGCATATGCATACGTTCATGTTCCAACATGGAACACACACGGTGGCAATCCAGCCATCCATCATCTTCATCATACTCATCTGTTTGGAGTGAAATGTGGCTGTCAATACAGAGGATAGAAAAAATAGAGAAACTTGGAAAAGTAGGAGGGCTGAAGCGGAAATTAAAAAAAAAAAAAATAATAAATCTGAACAGCCTCTTTATCGGTGAAGACCCTCCTTGACAACAACTTTGGCTGCGATGACTTTTTGGCCAGTCAGTTCATCGGCGAAGACTCCCACACTAGATAGGCTATCGTCAATGACTCTCTAACCAGATTGTTCATCGAATATAAAGACTGCATGGACAGCCAGGCTTTGCGATATTGACGGCAAGATTGTCGGTCAAACCTGTCCATCAACGCTGACTCCCTGGCAAAGCAGATCTTAGGCGAAGCCATCCAACTCTCCAACATATATCTCCTGATCAGCCAGTTCGTCAACATATTATCCCTGGTCAGCCAACTCGTCAGTATATACTCTTCGGGCTACCAGCTCCTCTGCATAGATTCCCCGGTCAGTCAACTCATCAGCATGGACAGCTAGTTCATCAGCATAGAATCCCTGGATAGCGAGCTCTCCCTCCTTGGATAGCGAGACTCCCTTGACAACCAGCTCGTCAACGTAAAGCCTGGTCATCCAGCTAATTAGCAGAAACTCCCTGGGCAGCCAAAGCATCAGTATAAACTCTTTGGGCTGCTAGCTCGTCAGCATAGACCGCTGTTCAGCCAGCTCTTTAGAATAGACTCTCTGCTCAGCCAACTCGTCAGCGTAGACTTCCTGGTCAGAAAAGTTGTGAGCATAGACTAGATCGTAAGCATAGATCCCCTGGGCAGCCAGATGCTCAGCATAGGGTCTCTGTATGGCCAGCTTGTCAGTATAGTACGCCAATGCGTCAGCATATACTCCTTGGGCTGCCAGCTTGTCAGCATAGCATCCCTGGCCAGCCAGCTCATCAGCATAGATTCTCTAGTTAGACAGCTCATCAGCATAAGTTTCCGGATCAGCTAGCCTGTCAGTGTAGATTGCCTGGCCAACCAGTATAGAATTCCTGGCCCGTCAGTCCGTCAGCATAGTCTTCATGGACAGTCAAGGCTTCGGAAAATACATCGTGGCCCGCCAGCTCGTTAGCGCAAACTTCCTGGCCAGCCGGCTTGTCAGCATAGACTCCTTGAGCAGCCAACTCGCCAGCATTGCATCCCTGGCCCGCCAACTCGTCAGCAGTGACTCCCTGGGCATACACTCTCTAGCCAATAGCTCGTCAGCCAGACTCCCAGGTCAGTCAGCTTTTCAACGTTGACTCCCAGCACAAATACCCTGGTCAGGCAACTCGTCAGCTTTGAATTCCTGGGCAGCTAACTTGTTCTCATAGACCTTTGACCAGTCATCTCATCAGCATAGACTTCCAGGAAAACCAGCTCCTCAGCATAGACTCCCAGGCCTGCAAGCCCGCTAGCATAGTTTACCTGGACAACCAGCACCTCAGCATAGACTCCCAGGTATGTAAGTTCGCCAGCATAGTTTTCCAGGCAATCAAATCGTTAGCATAGACTCCCAGCTCGTCAGCGAAGAATGCCTAGCCAGCTAGCTCGTCAGCATAGACTCCCTGACCAGCCAGCTTGTCAGCGTAGATTCCCTGGTTAGTCAGCTCATCAGTACCGACTTTCCTGGTCAGCTAGCTCGCCAGCGAAAATTTCCTGGCCAAGTAGCTCTTTGATACAGACTCCCAGGTCGGCGAGCTCATCAGCATTGATTTCCTAAACAGCCAGCTTGTCAGCGAAGACTCTCTGGTCCGGCAGCTCTTCGGTACAGTCTTCCAGATCAGCAAGTTCGTCGTCGACTTTACAGACTCACAAGGCCGACAGGTCTGCTGTCCCTTCGTCCTGTTTTCTATGATATTCTTTGACTGTTTTATACTACATTCTACACCCTACTGTGATGGGAAATTGACCCTCGTTTTGACATTCTCTCGCCTTCTTTTTTTTTTTGTCCTCAGCTACTGATTGGCATTATGCCAACATGTTGTTATTTGCTCCATTCGAGAGTCGCCTTAGGTTTGAACATGAAATACTAGCGCAGCGTTATTAGTATGTGGATGTTATTTGATGTTTTGCGTATAGCGAATGTTTCGATAGTTTGCAATTACTGCAAGCTGAAAGGGCTGACTCTTCGATGGCGGCTTATTTGTAAATATACATCATATCTGCATTTGATAGCATGCACAGAGCTAGTTTTGAAATTCTACGAAGAAAAAGAGGGGGCGGGGGGGTCAATTGAACGTAATTTAAGTGCATGTCACCAAAATGGAACTTCATCAGCATTGCAAGTGCCTAAAAGTATGCAGCATTCATGGAAATACTTATTAGACTTTGTCAACTATTGCTGATATATATCGTATCTTGTAAGATAGGGTTCTCAAAAAGGTGTTCATCAAGAAGGGTTAAGTTTTATTAAATACAGCCTAAAAGTATGCATTACATCAGCTCATCTTTAGGTTTTAAAGAGTTCCTTGGGGAGTTTTAAAGAGTCCCTTGGGGTTCTTCCTTAAGACCGTCTACGAAAACAATTTTTACCTTATCCATATGCCTTGGTACTCACTTTCCCCATAGTTTTTCCAGCAACTTATGTTTAAATACCCCTTTCGTTACTGTCTCCTAAAAGTATGCATCACAATTCGCCTTATTTCTCAAATATTTGATTTGTTTGGTCTTTATTACATTTTATTTCTTAATAACTCTTCATAATCCACAATTGATTCCCATATTTAGTTTTAATGACTCCCATCCCTTTAGAATTCGGAATTATCCTTAATCTAGGCAATAATATCTATTAAGCCCTAAAAATAAATAACCCAAAAAAAAAACGAAAAATATTTAAATAAATTATTCCACCGTGGGCTGCGTGTTCATGTGGCATTATTATTAGTTGTTGTAAAGCGACTTAACATTTATTATTGCTCACATCACAATAATCATCATCTACACCGTTCTGCTCATCCTCCTCTCCAATCCCCCTTTGATAACCTCAATAATGGTGCTTTTTTCCAAAGCGAACACACATATCGTTTATTTAACTGGTCCATGGTGCCAAGTTACCATTTCTTTCTTCTATTCTTCTGCCACACACACACATGCAGACCCAAATCCTCCAATGGATTCTTGAATAATCTTTAACTTTAACACTCAACTTTCTTAAGAGTTTTGTAGGCCCGCCCTGCCACCTCAGCCAGTGAACAATGAGAACAATAACCCAGAAAAGGAAATAAAGGACACGCACACTGAAGCGAGTGGATTTTCGTTTGAAAATCTCCATGGTAATATTAAATAGATTTAAACCATTTGCTGCTCTGGATGAGACCCTTAACGTACATCTCAAGCATAAACGCTCACACATACATTCTCCAAGTTCTCTCCATGTATATCCTTTGAAATGTTAAATATCAAGAAGAAAAGAAAAAGTGAAAGTGTGTGGTTAGCTGTACGGCCCTTTGTTTTCTCGTACATGTGCTATTTGTAGGCATTACCAGCCGAGCAGGGCAGAGAATCAAAAAATAAATATCAAGAAAAATCTCCTCTTTTTTTTCTTAGATTATAATGGTTTACACGTGATATTTGTCGATGTGAATATAGAACAAATGAGCTCTCATTTTATTGCATATCATTTCGATTGAAGAAGGTAGGGGGTTGCTACGCCTTCTCCTTTGGATGACTGGCAGTTGGCTCACTTTCCCCCAAAGAACATTTTCTTAAATGTGAGTCAGTTTGATTTGTAAATATCTCTTGAAGGTATTGTTTTTGGTACGGCAGCTGAAAGGGAAAGGGGTCTTTGCAAACAGAGATGAAGGGGTTTCCACAGACAAGATTACGGACGTCTTTATACGGCAGGAGGTTCTCCTAAACAATCAGAAATCTTTTTTTTGGAAATCTGAAGATTAAGTTGTTAAAAAAAATAAGTTTAAGGAGGAGTTTCTCTCTTCGCCTTATTTCCCTTATTCTCACCCTGACAATATGTAGGCCTACTTGAAGTCTAGAAAGCCTTTTGAAAGGGGAGAGACCAAGCTTTGACCATATATACCCTTAAAAATTTGTTATTCGCCGATAAATTGCTGGATAAGGAGCTGAGATTATTGCCTTTAAGCTTAAAGTGAGGAGTTGACTTACCAGGTACTCATTGCCGAGAAGCTGGATGACTACTGACGAAAAGACTGGACAAGGAGTCTATGCTGACTAGCAAGCTGGTCGGAGGGACTTCACTGACGGGCTGGGGTACGGGAAGTCTGTGTTAACTAGCTGGACGGCCAGAAAATC